AAAGAATAAAATAATACAAATTCATTTTAGGACAAAGTTATTCAAAATAAAAATTTTTTTTTTTCCAGTGAGAGAACTGGCTTCCATCAGATGATTTCTTGCTAATATTTTGAAAGATTTTGAACTTCTCGACTTACCTGGTTTTATGGTAGCTGAATCCACGTCTCCCTCCTCTCTTCTTATGCTTGTGTGTGTTGCTGTTCACATTCAGGTCAATAAAGGGAGGCAATTTGAAAGCAAAGGATAAAGCACCTTGGCACGAATTTAAGTTTTTAACATTATAGATCTGTTTCAGAGAATGGGAATCATATGCTCATATGTATGACTTACATGCTTCCTGGGCTGACTTATGAAGGAAGTAGTTCTTTTCAATCACTTTTTCAAGCTGAGTGAATGTTGGAAATTTTAGACCAGGAAAAGCCGAATTCTCTTATGGGAACCTTGGATTGCCTCAAGTAACAAAGGAAACCCAATTCTTCTGGGCACAAAATGAGCAAGGCATGTCTTCTTCCATTTAGACATTTGGCTGTTATACCCCCACGATGAATGTATTCCTTAGGGTCATCTGGAGGGTCATGCTGAACAATCCAATCAACTTCTGGAATATCGAGCCCTCTTGCTGCCACGTCTGTATACAGCAATATTCCTGTATCTGCATTGCAGAACTGGAAAAATATGCTTGTGCACTTGTTTTTGCTTCTGTTTCCCATGAATGGCCAAGACAGGCAAGTCATTGTAGTTCAGCAACTCGTAGTGGTATTTCCCTGATTTACAGGATGAAAAAAGACCATTCGCTGCTTCTTTCAGTTCTTATTAAGGATTGTAAAGAGCAGAAGGAATCTCTTTTCAGAGAGGCAAACAATATATCCCTGCTCAAGACCATCCACTGTTGCATTCGCTTTATCATCATCAACACCAACATACAATGGCTTCTTTTTCAGAGAAATTCTTGCCAAGTCTTCCACCTTGCGAGTTTTTGCGGCAGAAAGAGCATGGTCTGCCTGCGTATTGGCAGAAGTTTAATAATTTGCTTTAATTCCTTAAGGCCAACATCCAGGATCCAATCAGCCTCATCAATAACCAGACACTAGGTTTTTATACATAAACCCTGGGGTATTCTGCATACAGTCCAGGAGACAGCCTGGTGTGGCCACAATGATACTGATCCCATTGGGAAGTTTCTGTACCTCAGCAGATCTGGTACTGCCACCCATTATCAACCCGCATGTGTGAACATGGTGAGTCATTAGCTCCTTAAGAACACCAAAAGTCAGCATGACCAGTTCTCTACTAGGTGAGAGAATAAGGACTCCTGTTTCATTCTTGGGCATGAACTTTAACTTAACAATGAGTTCAGCTGCAGGGATGAGAAACGCCAAGGTTTTGCCACTGCCTGTTTTTTGTTTGTTTGTTTGTTTGTTTGTTTGTTTTGGAGAGGTTTTCGCTATAGGGCGCATGTGCTCGCCAGACAGACAGAGAGAGACATAGAGACAGAAAGCGAGAAATCACTCCCCAGGGGGGATGACCATGCCGCAATCCCTTCTCCTCCATTCTCCTCTCAGGATCTTGGGCACGCACACACACGCGCCCAGCGTGAGTTTTAAGCCACCGGGTACGGGACTCGAACCGTGGTCGACTACGTGGGAGTCCAGCGACATAGCCATTACGCTAACTGCTGGTTCCCACCACTGCCTGTTTTTGCAACTGCAAGAAGGTCCCTACCTTCCAGAAGTGGTCTGATACTTTTATGTTGATTTTCAGTCATGTTCGTAAAACCCATTTCCTTTATTGTCTTCAGAGTGTTTTATTTGACAAGATTAGTTAGAGAAGCAAATGAAGTGTCCTCAAAATCTCCTGTCAGCTGCAGGGACAGGCTGGGTACTTCATTCTTATCTTTCTCATCTGGCTTCTCCACATTGTTTTCTGTTTCTTCAGGAGCCTTAGCATTCTCTTCAAATTCTTTGTTTTCAGTATTAGCTTTTTTGGTATCAGGTCCAGCATCATTCACCATTTTTGATTCTGAATTAGGATACTGCTTTGCTACTCCTCCATTGACTAAAATGGTGGATTTCTGGGGAACATTTTTTTTTTTTTGTGAGGT